TCTACCAACGCAGCCACTGTCCTTCTTACACAAACTGTTGCAAATTTGAACATAAGTAGCAGCTAATATTCAGCAAAATTCAATCGCAATTTCAATTCTTGGAATAGAAAAGAATACACGCATTTGAATGTATGTATGTGTGCACACGCATAGGAAAAATGCGTGCGCGTGGCGCTGCTGACATGTGCTTTTGCAAATTGGCCAAACGTTTTGTTTAATAACTTCTGTTTTACTTAATAGATTTTAATGAAATTTTCAGCATATGATCTACATATCCTATTGGCTTGGTTGAGATGCAAACGCCTTGACATAATGGCCCTAGTTCCAACTAAACTTAAATACTAAGAATTTGGGGGAATTTGGAGCCGGTATCCAAAATCCAACAAAAATCAAAATTGCATAAAATATATATAAGACTAAATACAAAATTTGGAGGCTCTAGCTCTTAAGACGTTCGAGATATAATTTATTTACTGCATTTCAATAATGTTTTTATTCGATAACAATTAAATGCGAATAGTTATCGAATATTTGAAACAAACTTGACCTGCGCGTGCTATACACGGACCTACAAAAAAATTTATATATATATATATATATATATATACATATATATGTATATATATATGTATAGATTACAATAATTTCGAGCTTGTAAACTGGAATGTTGAAAAGAGTATTTCATTCTCGGGCCTTGCAGAATGGCCTCCGCTGTGCCCCCTTTACGTTAAATTGTTAAAAAAAACTTGTTTCGTAACTGATTTGGCGCTGCCAATTTTCAAAGTGGCCAAAAAGTTTCAAAAGAAAACGGGAAGAGAAGGTAACTTTGTGTCCATTGTCCAGGTCGATTTGCAGGCTCTAGTTTTCTACGCTCAGTAGGAGCCCTGAAATAATTTCTTTAGTTCGTGGAGCTGGCAACCCTGCCAACAGGGTCTTCGAAATTGCATTTCTGAATGAAGGGCATGGGCCTGCCCCTGCTATAAGCTGTGCCAAATGCTGCTTAATTTCAAATTAGGGTGGCAATTTTTGTGCCATGTGGCGGGGCGAATGCTTCGGCTGCTGTGTTTGTGATTTTCATTAATGGCATTTGGAACAATTGCAGCCCCTGCAGCCTTCGCAGGCCAACTGCAACCACCCAGACTCCGCTGCAGGGTTAGACGGTTAGACAGTCGTGCAATTATGTGCCATGACTTTGACTTTCTCTTACTCCAACTGGTTCTCTTGCTCTGCGTGAACCAGTTCGCATTGCCAGTTATCAGCAATCAAGCAGCGGAGCGAACCAACTCACTCGTCCTTTGTTCTCAGGCACTCGCCGAACGATCTGCCCACTTGAAGTCAATCTTCAGTATTTGCAATCAATTTAATTTCAATGACACAAAATTTGCATCGTTCGAGTGAGAAGTGCGGCTGAGTCGGGAGACAGGGCCCCCATTTTCTATGCAGTTGCCTTTGAATGGGCCTGCGAGCATAGGCTTTAGAGAATTTGTGTAAATATGCAAATCGAAAATGCAAATTAGTTGAATTTTGATTTTCTTTTGAATGGAATGAAAGCGAATGAATGAAACGAGTCGAGCTGGGTCGAGCTGAGTCGAGGTGGCGGCTGAAACAAAAGCCAAAGAGATTCTCATCTTTCGTTGCAATTGCCAGTGAACTAAAGGGAATCGCAAGTCAGGGTAAACCAGAGCCTATGGGCTTTTGCTGCTGGGGGAACTCGTATGGGGTTTTCATACATGGAATGCGTTATATATTAGAAACATTTGTTTTACCAAATAGAAAAGGAATTTTAATTTTAACATATGCATGAGATATTCAGCTAAATTCGAAGTATTTAAATATTGCTTGATCATTTGAAAATCAGCTTAAAAGTTAAATTACAAATTCAAAAAACAGCAGCTTACAGCAATGTCTATAAGAAATAGAGATATAAACACCTTAAAGGGAATATTAGTCGAAACTTCTGGATTATCTTGGCTAAAAATCTAACCTGGACCAGAGAACTAATGATTCATTTAAAAGCCCTTAAGACCCTTTTAAAACAGAAAATTATAGCTACGTTTACGCGCTCCAACAGGTGGATAATAATTTCTAATTCTATTTATAGAGGAGGTCAACAGGATTTCACCTGCAAGTTGAGGAATCTCAGCATCCCATAAGACACACATTCCGCTCAATCACTTCGTGAATGAGTTTAGTAGGTCTTATGTTCCTTTCAATTAAGAATTTTGTATTCGCACTCAGATTCAGTTATATCTTGACAGTTACCTAAATATATTCATATCATTCGTATTTGAAAAGGAGTACCATTCAGGCTCTTCTTCCACTTACTCTCCCGAATTTATTAATGAATTAATTTACCATTATCCCTTGTATATTGTAAATTCTAAAGTTAATTTGTTAAAATATTTAAATGTGACGCACAAAATACCTATTTATTTCTCTATCAAGGGTATGAAACTGCTTTAGTATTTGTAGTGATCAAGCACAAAGCAATTGTAGCTTGACAATGCCTTGGACACAAAATCATATGAAGAGGCACTTGAGCTGCCTTGGACTCGGCATTCATCCTGCTCATCCCTTTGACAGTCACTCGAAATTCCACGCCTATGAAAGCTACGATAATATATGAAAGATTCGCATTTCATGTCAGGCGATTGTTATGCTCGTTCACGAATGGAAAGAGTATATTGGTTTCGCGTGGGCCATTTTTGAAGGCAGTCTTATGAAAAAATAAGATTAAAGATTAAAAAAAGCAGCCCTAAAATTTCACAGTTGCTTTACTGTGGACCCCTTTTTACAATTGAAGACAAATGATAGATCTTCTCATCTCCTCCACACATACGCCTATAATTGAATGAAATTCGCACTTTTCAGACCTTCAGCGAATATTGTGCAGTTTGTTATGCCCGACCACAACATTCCTATTCGTTTGTGTATTTCTTCAAAGGGATAAAAAAAGATTAAAATTTCACGAACCGAAATGCATTCCTTGAATAGCGCAAATATTTTGTAAATTAGAAAAAACAGGAACAGAAGCTAGAGTGAGAGTCACTCTCAAGTGTCATAAGCAATAGGCAACCCTTTTTGCTGGCAAGCAGCAACCCTATGCATGCCATTTGGCACACTATTATTAAATAATGCTCTCTGCCTTTATTATGTTGATTATGGTGGCTGTTCTGGCACGCGTAGCCCTTAAAAACTACAGTTACAAAAAAACATGGCAAAAATATCGAATCACAGGGTTGCTGTGACAGCAACTCAAATTGAGTCTTGAATGTTGGCGTAATACCAAAATGCAAATTTTTATTTAACAAGAAATTTCATACAGATGTGGTAGAGCATCGGATAAAATGGAGTCGAGTGAAAACCTATTTTCCTAATAGCTTTTAGAATATTTTAACGGTTTGACGCGACTGCTCATAATGAAGTTAAAATTATTGTCTGAAAAACTGTATTATTTCATGCAATATATTATTTAATAATAAAAAAGATTTTCAAATTATTATTTCATACATTATACATTTTATTATTTTACATTTTAAAAAATATATATTATTACATATATTATTTATGTACTATTTATATATTATTTATATATATTTATATATACTATTTAATAATAAAAAAGATTTTCAAATTATTATTTCATACATTATACATTTTATTACTTTACATTTTAAAAAATATATATTACTTTATATATTATTTATATATATTTATATATACTATTTAATAATAAAAAAGATTTTCAAATTATTATTTCATACATTATACATTTTATTACTTTATATTTTCAAAAACATATTATTTTATATATTACATAAATTATTTATATATTATTTATTTATATTTATATATACTATTTAATAATAAAAAATATTTTCAAATTGTTATTCTAATTCCAATGAACTCTTCACGTGCTCAGAACTCAACCATAATTTTATTTAGGGTTCTTGAAGAGAAACACAAGCTTAAGGCATAAAATTTTGCTTGGGGAACTACTTGGCTTAAGCCCATTTATAAGCCTAATCAAGACTTTTGGGACATTTAGAAACTCTTAAGTAGCTTAAGTTACGCTCAAAAGTGTTCACCAACCAAGCAATAATAATTTCAGTTTGCTTTTTTTCTGGAACGTGGCATATGAAACATGAAGTGAGGCAACAGCGCATTAATATGCACGTGCATTGAGAGGGGAGAAACGTTTGAGAAGTGAACATAAAAATAAACGCAGGGCAGTAAATTAAGTGTCCGCTGGGAATTCGTTGGCTTGCGCACACAGCCAAAGTGCGTGGCCGTCTATCTGTGTGTGTGTGTGTGCTGTTGTGTGTATGTGTGTGTGCTTACGAACATGAAACCCAAACTAAAAACCGCTCGCTGATGTTTTCTCGTTCATGTTTTAATGGTTGCCTGTGTGCCGCAGAGCCTTAGCCCAGCACCTCTGTCCCTGGCCCGCCCTGGCTCCTGGCTTATGCTTACCCTTTCATTATATTCGTGGCTCGTCTTTGTTGTGGCAGGGTTGAGCGTGGTGGTTTAAGGGCTGGGGCAAGGGGCTATTCGAAGTTCTTTGGCTCCGCACACACACAAAATTCATTTCAGAGCGAGGCTGATAATTTTTGCGTCTGCCTCAGAAAATACTTTCCGAGTTGTGGCTGTTGTTGTTGTTGTTGCTGTTCCATTGCATTGTTATGTTAATTTTGATTATATGTGTTGTTGTTGTGCTGTTGTTGCTGCTGTTGTAGTTGTAGCTCTTTGTGGCACGAGACGCGCTTTTCAAATCTGCTGCTCACTAATTTGTACGCGTGCCACGCGACAGCCGTCGCCGCAGCAGCAGCAGCAGCTCGCGCACCCTCTGCAAGAAAATCATATTTGAATAGTGTGCAATATGTGTGCTTCGACTAGACCAGAGCAAAGACCTAACGGCCTATCCCTAGCACAAATCAAAACCAGCTCCACCCAACCCCAAGAAAGAAGTTCTGTTTGCTCCGGGGGGCAGCTCATCAGCTTCATCATGATGATGAGCTTCTCGTCATGTCCACGTGCCGGGCATCAGTTTCAAGCTCGCCAACAGCCGGCCACTGCCCCTTCCCCTTCAGCTGCCCCTTCCTCGCCCACGCCTCTGCCAGAACAGAAAAAGGGGTTCCCAGAGTTCTCAGGGCAACTGTGAAATTAAAAGTGTTGCGCTTAAGTGTTTTGTTGTGTTATTGCCAGTTGCAAGTTGTTGTTGTTCTTGTTCTTGTTGTTGCCTTAAACCCTAACTAATGTGTAAGACAAAAAGGTGACCGTATCATGACCACCGTCCTTGTCTTTAGTGGGCGTTGCTGACACTGCACAACAGTCAATCATTTAGCCTTTTCCCCTGCCTTTTGCGTAGGTGGATTGCTTAGCATTTGGCATTTGGCTATGCCTGAAAAGTTGTGGCAACATTTTGCGGTATTCGTGTCGAATTCGGAATGCCGCTTTAGATAAATGCTAAGGAATTTAATTATAAGTGAAAGATCTCGTTTGATACGCTATGTATGGAAATTGAGAACTGAGTTAATTATAATATGGCTAACAGTATGTGTCTGGCTGGAAAATAACGTTAGGGATTGAAAAAGGCTTCAGGGTTTCGTAAGGATCTACCTTAGACTGCGTTTAATAAAGGAAAGATCCATACCTCAAATGCATACGATATGGACTATGAGTTAGTTACAAAGGAGGTAGAAAGTTAAGTTAGATTAACGGTGCTTTATTTAGTTACTGTAGCAAAGAGTTTGTATGAGGCTCTAGACTCTTTTAAGATATAAATGAATATTTATAAGAAATTTCGGAAAGCCCTTGCCATAGAAAAGAATCTAAAATCCTGTTTCCTTAACTATGATGATAAGTTTCTCAAATGGATATAGAAACTTAAAACTCTAAATGATAAACAGATACTTATGTCAGCGCTGCAGATGGTGAGGTCAACTAGATGACTTTAACTGTCATCTACTTACGCTTCTCAGATATTTTTGTTTGCCTTATCGAGTTTGATCTTTTGACAGTTAATCAAATAATTTGATATGCAAGCAAACGCAGCACCCTTCCGGGTAACACTGTAGACCTTCAACCCTGCAACCCAAGCCTATACCCTAACTGTATATAACGCGCCGTACTCTGTGTCCGGCATCACCTACATAATCGTATATGGCCTGCGAATTGCACGCCGTACGCCGAATTAATGAATATGTATTATGGCCATCAAAGGTGTTAATGGACACGACACGACACGCCACACAAGTTGGGCTACTCGCCGTGGCTCCGGCTGTTTGGGTGGGTGGTTGGCTGGTTGGTTTATGGGTGGTGCGGCAAGAAAGCCATTGCAGCCGCAAATTGCATTAGAAATGCAAACAAGTGGCAGCAGCGGCTAGTGGAAAGTGCGCGAGCTGCAGCGGACTGGCGGCTAATTGAATATACAAAATGCCTAACCGTAAAGCCGACGGAGCGGCCCATTCCTCCACAGTCTGCACACGTGAGTCTGGACACATGTACGGCGTAGCTGGTTCCGGGCACGGGGCTGTGGACCACGTGTTAACCCTTCAGATGTTGTTATTGTTATAAACTGATTGACCGCCACGGCAAAACGGCCAAATATGAAGGCGTTAAACCGCCCTACGCCCTACCGCCCTACCCCCCCATCCAGCCCAAACCGCCCCTGGTACGTCCTGCACAGGCCGTTCAATAGGTTTAGCTATGGCTTAAGCATCATCGAGTTTGCCCCGTCAGGGGTTAACAATATGCGAGGGCTTGGCTCGCCTTTTAGGGTTGCTTTTCCGTCCGGTGTATTGACATCGTGGGAGTTAAACAGTTGTTGCAACTGCCACCCAAAAGCCATGCTTCACTTTTTTCTCTAGTGCATTTTCACTTCCGTTTTACGTCATGTACTTATACTCATTGAATGAAAAAGAATTGGGAATACTATGTAATCAAATTTAAGTGTAATAAATCAGTCTGTATACTCTATATACTCTGTATACTCTGTATACTCTGTATACTCTCTATACTCTCTATACTCTCTATACTCTCTATACTCTCTATACTCTGTATACTCTGTATACTCTGTATACTCTGTATACTCTGTATACTCTCTATACTCTCTATACTCTCTATACTCTCTATACTCTCTATACTCTCTATACTCTCTATACTCTCTATACTCTCTATACTCTCTATACTCTGTATACTCTGTATACTCTGTATACTCTGTATACTCTGTATACTCTGTATACTCTGTATACTCTGTATACTCTGTATACTCTGTATACTCTGTATACTCTGTATACTCTGTATACTCTGTATACTCTGTATACTCTGTATACTCTGTATACTCTGTATACTCTGTATACTCTGTATACTCTGTATACTCTGTATACTCTGTATACTCTGTATACTCTGTATACTCTGTATACTCTGTATACTCTGTATACTCTGTATACTCTGTATACTCTGTATACTCTGTATACTCTGTATACTCTGTATACTCTGTATACTCTGTATACTCTGTATACTCTGTATACTCTGTATACTCTGTATACTCTGTATACTCTGTATACTCTGTATACTCTGTATACTCTGTATACTCTGTATACTCTGTATACTCTGTATACTCTGTATACTCTGTATACTCTGTATACTCTGTATACTCTGTATACTCTGTATACTCTGTATACTCTGTATACTCTGTATACTCTGTATACTCTGTATACTCTGTATACTCTGTATACTCTGTATACTCTGTATACTCTGTATACTCTGTATACTCTGTATACTCTGTATACTCTGTATACTCTGTATACTCTGTATACTCTGTATACTCTGTATACTCTGTATACTCTGTATACTCTGTATACTCTGTATACTCTGTATACTCTGTATACTCTGTATACTCTGTATACTCTGTATACTCTGTATACTCTGTATACTCTGTATAACTCTGTATACTCTGTATACTCTGTATACTCTGTATACTCTGTATACTCTGTATACTCTGTATACTCTGTATACTCTGTATACTCTGTATACTCTGTATACTCTGTATACTCTGTATACTCTGTATACTCTGTATACTCTGTATACTCTGTATACTCTGTATACTCTGTATACTCTGTATACTCTGTATACTCTGTATACTCTGTATACTCTGTATACTCTGTATACTCTGTATACTCTGTATACTCTGTATACTCTGTATACTCTGTATACTCTGTATACTCTGTATACTCTGTATACTCTGTATACTCTGTATACTCTGTATACTCTGTATACTCTGTATACTCTGTATACTCTGTATACTCTGTATACTCTGTATACTCTGTATACTCTGTATACTCTGTATACTCTGTATACTCTGTATACTCTGTATACTCTGTATACTCTGTATACTCTGTATACTCTGTATACTCTGTATACTCTGTATACTCTGTATACTCTGTATACTCTGTATACTCTGTATACTCTGTATACTCTGTATACTCTGTATACTCTGTATACTCTGTATACTCTGTATACTCTGTATACTCTGTATACTCTGTATACTCTGTATACTCTGTATACTCTGTATACTCTGTATACTCTGTATACTCTGTATACTCTGTATACTCTGTATACTCTGTATACTCTGTATACTCTGTATACTCTGTATACTCTGTATACTCTGTATACTCTGTATACTCTGTATACTCTGTATACTCTGTATACTCTGTATACTCTGTATACTCTGTATACTCTGTATACTCTGTATACTCTGTATACTCTGTATACTCTGTATACTCTGTATACTCTGTATACTCTGTATACTCTGTATACTCTGTATACTCTGTATACTCTGTATACTCTGTATACTCTGTATACTCTGTATACTCTGTATACTCTGTATACTCTGTATACTCTGTATACTCTGTATACTCTGTATACTCTGTATACTCTGTATACTCTGTATACTCTGTATACTCTGTATACTCTGTATACTCTGTATACTCTGTATACTCTGTATACTCTGTATACTCTGTATACTCTGTATACTCTGTATACTCTGTATACTCTGTATACTCTGTATACTCTGTATACTCTGTATACTCTGTATACTCTGTATACTCTGTATACTCTGTATACTCTGTATACTCTGTATACTCTGTATACTCTGTATACTCTGTATACTCTGTATACTCTGTATACTCTGTATACTCTGTATACTCTGTATACTCTGTATACTCTGTATACTCTGTATACTCTGTATACTCTGTATACTCTGTATACTCTGTATACTCTGTATACTCTGTATACTCTGTATACTCTGTATACTCTGTATACTCTGTATACTCTGTATACTCTGTATACTCTGTATATACTACTCTGTATACTCTGTATACTCTGTATACTATGTATAATTCGTATACTCTGTATACTCTGTCTACTCTGTATACTCTGTATACTCTGTATACTCTGTATACTCTGTATACTCTGTATACTCTGTATACTCTGTATATCTGTATACTCTGTATACTCTGTATACTCTGTATACTCGTATACTCTGTATACTCTGTATACTCTGTATACTCTGTATACTCTGTATACTCTGTATACCGTACTGTATACTCTGTATACTCTGTATACTCTGTATACTCTGTATACTCTGTATACTCTGTATACTCTGTATTACTCTGTATACTCTGTATACTCTGTATACTCTGTATACTCTGTATACTCTGTATACTTATACTCTGTATACTCTGTATACTCTGATACTCTGTATACTCTGTATACTCTGTATACTCTGTATACTCTGTATACTCTGTATACTCTGTATACTCTGTATACTCTGTATACTCTGTATACTCTGTATTATCTGTATACTCTGTATACTCTGTATACTCTGTATACTCTGTATACTCTGTATATCTGTATACTCTGTATACTCTGTAACTCTGTATACTCTGTATACTCTGTATACTCTGTATACTCTGTATACTCTGTATACTCTGTATACTCTGTATACTCTGTATACTCTGTATACTCTGTATACTCTGTATACTCTGTATACTCTGTATACTCTGTATACTCTGTATACTCTGTATACTCTGTATACTCTGTATACTCTGTATACTCCATATACTTTATACTCTACTCTCTATACTCTACATTATCAGCTTCTACAGGGTATTTATTGTTAGTCATTCAACAAACAGTTCGAGTCTTTGACTTTGTGGTGTGTTTTACAAGTTTTTTATGCCTTAATCTCATTTAAAATACATATTTTTATATATATACCTATATAGTTGTGTGTCTGTCTGCCTGTCTGGGGCAATTGCAATTGGGTTTTAGGTCGTTGAGCCCTTAGGGCTGCAGACGTTGGCAACTCTGGCGCTGGGTCTGTTGCTGTTTGGCCTCTGCCCTTTTGCCTTTTGGGTGATGCGTGCACTTTCTTTATTTGTATATTTATATCTCTATCTGAACCCCTCGTATACCCAGCTTTCCCATCCCTCGCTTGCAGAACGCCTATCGCTTTAATTGGAATTGTTTTATTTGCATTTTGCACCCACATTTGGTCGTCTCTTTTGTTAATGCTGTTCCTGTTCCTGTTGCTGGCTCTGCTTCACCGTTTGCTTCTGCTTTTGTCTGATATCTGCTGTTGTTATCTGCGCTCTTTTTGGACTGCAATTTTCGGTGTGGTTCGGTTAATCGCCCGGTCTTGCGTGGGATTAGTCCGGGGTAAACATCCAACCGTAGCCCTAGCTCTGGCTCTGGCTCTGGCTCTGGCTCTGGCTCTGGCTCTGACTCTGGCTTTGGCTTTAGCTTATTGTTTCTGTTTTGATTGCAACGCACAGATGTCTGGCCCGTTTATGGCTAGGCAACCAGCCAACGGTAGCTGTGCAATTGTTTAATTTACACTTCAAATTTTCTCCCAAATGATATCACATTATGACGTAGTCGGAAGCAAGTGATTTAGACAGTACATAAGCGTTTCTAAGTCTATGAAGAACCCAACAATATTTGCTTAAGAAAGCAAACTTAATTTTAATTATTAAAATATTTTTTTAAATTCTTTTGAATGCAAATCCTTATCAGAATCACATTGCCTTATTCCAAAGTAGCCGAGAAATTTAATTGTTCTGCCGTTATATATCGCCTTTTTCAATTTTTCCTTAGCCTGTGTCCAAATTTAAAGCTCAAAAATAAATTTAGAAACGAGGAAAAAATTGAATTGAATTTTAGTTAAAATTCCAGTTCTTTAAACTCTAAAGATTTTTTTACATGGGCAGGTTTGAACAATAATGAATTAAATAAAACCAATTTATTATTAGATTCAATAGGACTTAAGACAATTTTCGCATAAACAAGTAGAAACTCTTTATGATCTAATAAATAATAGAAAGTCATACGGAAAATATGTTGAAAAATTGTTCTAAAATTAACTCAACAGTGATACAGATACTCCTTAAACAAATTTATAAATATATTAACTTACAAGTATTAAGTTACAAATACAACAAGAAAAAAGCTAAAGGCGGATGTGCCCGACTAGGAGATACCCTTAACTCAGAGTTTTGTTTAATAACTTCTGAGATACTCAACAGATTTCTGTGAAATTTTCAACATAAGATTGGAATATTTGGCAGCTCGCTGACTGCTTTAGAAATTTCATTGGTTTCGACACATAAGAGCCCCTAGGAATACATAAGTATATTAATGGAAATGAATGTTCTCTTTGATATGCACGACCTGCACCATTTACAATACGTTGATCATTTCTGAGCTTTTGAAGCATTGATTTGAACGGAAACCCCTCAGCAATTCATACTTTAGATATTAGATTTAAATTCGTTTTAAATGAATTCTTGATACAAATATTTATTTTTTTCTTTACAGGTAAGACAGCTCCAACCAACTTAAATACTCCAAGCGTACATAAGCTCTCTGATGAAAGGAAGTTCGCAGTTGAGAGATCAAACTGTCAATGCCATTGAATCTTAACAATGGCGCTGACTTTCGCTGGTTTCTTGCTACTACCCATTGAAGTAGACTTCCGAAACTGTCAGTGGTAAGAACTCTTCGGAAAAGTATTTTTTATGCTGGACAGCAAATACCAAAGCAACTAAATAGGAAAGCGAAAATGAAATTCAAATCGAGGCAAGGCAGCAACAACAACAATATCCGGTTTATTTCGGGATACGCCCCGTTTCTGTATTATGGCAGGCGTCAAAGAACGCGAACCACAAGGCAAAGTCGTTGTGCCCCGGGACCACATGTTATGGGTACGCTGAAGGGGGCTTTGCCATTTCATATGTGCTTTCATATTGCTTGACTTTATTCACGTTGCTTTGGCCATAAGCAGAATGCGACTCATTGAGTTCTGTCAATGAAGTGCTTATTGGCCCGATTACAGGGCCTCCCTCCCCCTTACCCTTGCACAGTCAAACTTTTTCCCAGCTGATTTAGAGACATGCTCCAACACACGCGCACACACACTTTTGGTGCTTGGGTCCAATGGGCGGCAGCCATTGCAAGTCACGCACTTCCGGGACGCCGCCACGCCCACTAATTGCAGCTACTGCAAGAGGCAGGCCAGAAGGGAGAGAACTCGAAAAGTCATCGCAGCGCTAAATTAGCAATTGTCATTCGGGTCTATTGGCACAGCGTGAGGAATTTTCCATTTTCCATTTTCAATTGCTGAGCCGAACGAACAGCTGACAGCAAAGACCGATGCGAGTAGCTGTCCAAACCAGACTCGAAACTCAGGATAAGCCATCAGTCAGAGAGAGACGGAGTGAGAGAGGGAGATGGAGCAACAGAGAAGGGATGGAAAACTCGTAACAATTAGCACTCAAGATTGATGACTGAGAAAGGGAGATTCGCAGGCAGCAAAATGTGGGAAAAAGAGAGCAATGCAGAGCTGACGAGCAGGAGAAGGAGGAGGAGGGGCTAAACAGTCGGAGGGCAGAGCTAATGTGTGGTCCAATGCGGCATGTATGTGCATGTATATATGTATGTGTGTGTGTGTGTGTTTGAGTGTTGTGGAAGCATGAAGCACACGGAGAATTTCAGCTACAGAAGAAGGCGTACGATTGAGCTGCTGATGGATAGTTGCCGGATTGATTGAATATTCGATGTGGGTCAAATGAGCGATAACGTGACATAGCAGAGTGTAAAAACGTTAGCATGTAAAAGGCGTGGACTTGGAGTTATCACACACCTTCTCTTCTGCCTAGTTTATAGATGCTTTCATGACTCCTTTCACCTTAGCTCACTAGCTTAGCCAGCAAGACGTCTGTCTAAGCTAGCAACTTGACATTTACCCCTTTATTTTATAAGAAACTCTATTTAAAGCCTAGCTCAAATTCTTTGAAAGAGAACTAATAAAATGTTTTATGAACCTGTTCCAAAGTTTGGGTCAGTCGAAAGCGAGTCTAACTGACACATCAGTCCACATGCTAAGATCTCTCAGCGACTTAATGATCCTTGTCGGCAAACCCACAAAATTTGATGTCATAAAGCAACCCACATGCTCACACACACAGACGGTCAGACAAGTGCCTCATGCTCCATTAGCAGCGGACAATTTGTACCTACCGAAAATCCATCAAAACGCCGAGGTCCACAATAAAAAGCCAATTCCAATGAAATTTTTCATGGCACAACGAAAAAAATTGTTGCCCAGAGAAAGACAACACGAAGCAGCGTGGCAAGCAAATAGCCCAGCTCGCCGTCTAGGCGAAGCCCTAAAGAACAAATCTACGGGAAGCTCGACCCCAGTCCCTTTTTTATGGTGCAACAAATCTCAAGCTGGAGTAAAAAAAATGTAAAAAGAAGCAGCAAAGGCCGATGACGACGACGAAGTCGACCAACGCAAAGTGAAAAACTGAGCAAACAATGCGGCCAAGGCGGCACCAGCAGCAGCAGCAGCAGCAGTAGCAGAACCACCGCACCACTGCACCCACCCGCACTGCTACTCCGCCTTCGACAACGACAACAAGTTGAAGCAGGAGGCGGAGCAGCACAGAGCAGAGCTGAAGTGAAGGGCACGGAATGGGAACTTGCCACAATGACGAGAGCCCAAAGACCAAAGGCGATGACGTTGTGGCTATGAGAGACTTTGTGTGTGTGTGTGTGTGTGTGCCATGCCATATTATTAAGTGTAGCCAGAAGCAATTAAGTGTAGATAAGCAAACAATAATGTTCCTAGTCACGTACCAAACAGTCTTGGGACATTCTCTCACTTACCACTAGCAAAGTGTGCGAGCTCCACTCCTCTGGCCATCTAGTCCTCTAGTGCTCCAGTCCTCTGGTTCATATAGTTCAGTGCAGGCGCTGATTACTCGCTGCTGTTTACTGGTCCTGAACTTCTCTTGATGTTCAATCACTCAAGTGTATTGGCCAGCAACGATTTCAACTCGGCCTCCAGCTCCCAGCGCCCAGCTCCCAGCTCCCAGTCAAGTCGTTCGACTCCCCTCTCTTGCAGCTGTGTGTTTACTCAGTTGTTGGCTGTCTGTCTTTGATACATTTAATTTCATTAGATGCTACCCACCACGACAACAAATTGCTATCGGAGCAAATCCATGTAGCCGCTCTAGTGTCCATTGCTTCGTGTGAGTTTGTGTCATTTAGTCCACTGTCCCAGATTGACAGAGGGTTCGGCTTTTGGCTGGATTGGAATTGATATTAGTTGCATGACTTCACTGGAGTGACAGTTGTTTACCTACCTTACTTGACAATCAATAAAGAATTGCCGAAAACATTATGGGACTGTACTCGATATGAAGGCAAGAGAACACGGAACAAACATTAAAATCCACATTTCACTGAACTTTTAACTTGACAAGAGACGACTGAGTGCTGACTAGGAGATATTCCATATACTGGTTGGGTATCGAGTGGCACTCAGAGCGACTCGAGTGAGCTTGGAAAATAAAATAATATTTATATAAAACATGTGCATATATATATATCTATATATACATGTGGAAGTCTCTGCAATTGTCCTTTTGCGTCCTCTTGCCCATGCCGCATTTGCCATTCTATAAAAGAGTAATCAATTGCAAATGAGAGCAAAGTTCATCTAAATATTTCAAATAGCCACTCAAGTGCGGATAATTGCCAGTTAGCTACGCATAAATAATATTCTGAATGTGACAACGACGCACAGCTACTGAAAATAATTGCTGTGATATCGATCAAATATGTGTTATTCATGTGGGGGCGCTGCCATGAAAGCTTCAATTTCCAATTATTTTTAAATATTTAGCGGGAATTTGCATTGAAAACTATCTTTAGCAAATTGTCTAAATGGGCTGACTGCAGTTTATTAAAGAGGCGACCGAGTAGTCGGAGACTGTTCAAAGTTTGCCATCAATTAAAAGTTCTTCCACTTGAAATACAAATTTCAGAATTTGAGAATTCGAGAAGCCATTTGATAGGTAAAACGTGATAATAGCTGACAACGGTGCAATTCGATAGGCATCGACTGTGGATATCGAATACTCTAAAGCAATAAAGCATGCCAGAAACATAATAATCAGTGTAAATAAAAAGTTGGACATAAATTTGATAGGTTTTACTGCAGTTATGCTGGGCTAGAGATTGAAGTCTGATTCGTTCAAAAAGTTTAAGATGAATTTTAAATATATATATATATTAAATATATATTTTGAATATATATGAATATTAAGTTCATATAATAAAAAACTCTATTCTACTTTAACTAATTTGGAGGCGAACATAGTTTATATTTGACATATTAGCAGATGGATATAATTGTTGTACAAAAGCTTTCATTTGGTATTAACTGTAACATTAAAAAAAAGTAAAAGAAACAGATAAATCAATTTTCCTAGTTATAATTTATAGTGTTTTTTCTTTAAACTAATAAACTAAATAATTGTAGATTTAAATAAATCTATGAAATTGCAAGCCAACTTAGCATTACAGCACAACACTTGCATTCCCCCAATCTGTAACACTTATTCGCATTGCCAGATCTTTTAAAATTTCGAATGCGCTCAGCGATAAGCAATTGCTTCACGACGTCTTCTTCGTGTTACACACACAAGCACGGACTCACGCACGCACACACACTCGCATACAAACGTAAACAATGCGAAGCATTGCGTTGCGTCGTCGTACGGCGTCGCGACATTTCCGCGACAATAGAGCTGAAAACTGACCACAGACAACACGAACGGAGCATAAACAAATAGCAGAACACACAAACAACTATAAATACAAACACTAATACACGAACAAACACAAATCATAATAAACAAGCGAGCGAAATGAAATGTAGTTCACACAAACACACAGACACAAGCACACACATACATCGAATATAAGTGGCAACGCCTACGACACGTTTTGCCTTTGTTTTTGACTCTACTTTTCATTTGCCTTTTGCGTATTCATATTCCTCTTTAAACACACACACACATGCATTCATGTACACACACACACATGCATACAAGCAAGCATCGAATCGACTTGTTTAGCTATTTTCGCTTATTGTTTCATTTCATTTATATTGGCAGCTACTTAGTCAATTTCATTTCGTTCCAATTCCCACGTCGTCCCACAGCAAAAAGCTTGCATATTCAAATGGCCCTGAACTAAGAAGAAATGGAATATGGCACGCAGAATATAAAATACCCATTATGAGAGATAAATTTATTTTCCTAGATGAGCCTATGGGATACTTTTCAGAGAAAAGCCAAGATCTTATGCTCAATTAATATACCTTAACAAATCTCCCCTCATACAGTAAAAGAGATTTGCTATGAGCTACTTATAAAATACTATGTCTCTCTGTCTAATTTTGCTAAAAATAGATATTAGTTGACATACCCAGAGATGGTCAATTTATAATATGGACTTAAAATGTTGATTTAGATATCAAAAATATACTGAAACTATTCATGAACTTAATTTCCATAGCACAACACACAGAACATAGGGCAGCAAGCTAAGAGCAAGGCTCGCGGTATCTACTAGTTGGGCACTCTCCCAGAACGCACTCTTCATATTTTAACACAATTCTTATCGAATTTCTCGATCATAATATGCTACTTTAAAAAAGTCTTCTCATTTTCATAATTTTATGCTTAATCTGATTTATAATTTAATCTATTTATTTGTCAAGCCTTTAAGCCACATACATTTCATACATGTCATATCTGAGTAAAATAGATTGCTTATTTAAGTTTCTGAAAAAGCGAAAGTAAAATAAATCGACAGGCGAGGCAAGCTTAAAGCCACGGCTGTGGCCCTAGCAACATTGCCGCGCTGTTGCATCTACAGAATATCTTACAACTCTGACATTATTTAAGTGGACTTCACTGTGGATACACATATGGATTCAGCCCAAGACTTGAATATAGTCTGAAATAAATCTCTGTTTTAGAAAGACATGCAGGAATATATAGTTGTAGTTATATGATCATACGCACCCACATCTCGGAGAATCAGGTTCGCTCAGAAAAAGTTATCTGCCTTTGATATTACGGTTCCTGGCGTAGACATATGACCATATGAGATTTCTATTAGACAACCCTGGAGCTTACACCTAAGATCTGGTTAATCAGACTGAGCATAATGCACAGTTTACCCCAGTGCCATGACTGTGACATTGAGGTGGCACCTTCCGTACAATTACATCTGATATAGCAATCCGGACAGTAGGAGCTCGGGTAATTCGCATATGATATGGGATTCAGTACTACATTGCAGCCAATTGTTGGTGAAAAAACGCAACAGAAATCCCTAAGTTCCTCTATAGAAAGAGAGTTTTAGGTGAAACGGTCTCGGACGGAAACTACTCACTTATCTCAAGATTTTGAATCGTGCAGGAATCGTATACCGTTGGAAGTTGATTCGCGTCAGGAGAGTGAGTCTCAACTATTGTATTAGGATCACAGTGAAAGCCCTGCACACGCGGCTGACATTCAAAATTCCAAAAGCTGTCGCAACTATAACACTGGCCTTCAACAACTGCCAAAAGATACTTCAATTAGGTGCGATCGAAATAAAGACATCAACTCATCGTTTTCTTACCTAATGGGTAAAAAATAAATAGTGCAAAGGTATAAAATGAAAGCATTGCTAAAGAAAAGAAAGAATTTGAAACAAAAATTTTGATGAATACTACTACTACGTTCAGATTTAGTTAAAGTCTGTTAGATTTCGTATATCCTGAACCGATTGAGAATGGAAAATCGGGGTATATTGGTTTCGTTAACATATGTGCAGCAGGCAGAACAGAAGGCGTGACAGAGCACGTTCTAGTTGAGAACAAAGAGCTGAGTCGTCGAAGGCGTCGATCATAGCACCTGTAACAGCTAGAAACTGAAATTTCATTTCAATAATAATAAGCGATAACTGCTCCCATTCTAATGTTATCGATCAGTTACTGAATTATGTCTCGTAAGTCTTTGATGCCAGATCTAAATGTTGCTTGTAGTTTCATGTACATTTTAGACACTATTGACTTTTGCGTAGTTTAGAAAATTGGCGCCAAACTTTACTAAATTCATTGAATTGAAATTTAGTTTAATATTTTTTTTTTTTTAATTTTGCTGTTTTTATTTGCAAGCTGTCTTATACTAGACAATAAATAAATTTTTCAACAATAATATTACATAACCGGATGGCTTGAGCTGCAATGAGATCAATCCATATATTTAGTTTAATATAAAGCCAATTTATAAAGAGCTCAATAAGATCATATGTTCATAGATCATATGTTCAAAATTTCATTGAGGGAAAAGTTGGTTCGAGTCCTGGTGACCTCCCATCGAGTTTTCTTCTTTTTTATGCTAGATACAGGCTATGAAAAATATCAAAAAATATCAAAAAATATCAAAAAATATCAAAAAAAAATTGTAAGTTAAAAGTGTAAAACGGCCTTTTGTATATCTCCTAGTTGGACAGCTCCGACTAGTGCTTTCTTACTAGATTAAGCCTAACCCATTACTAGATCAGTTCTACTTTTAATTCTAATCAAGAATATTCTCATTACAATATTATTGCTAGATCAAGAATATTCCTAATATAATATCAGCTAAGTGCATTATATTTTAAATAATTAATTTGCTATAAATTATTATACAGTGCATTCGTAATCTGTTAGACCTGAAGATCACATACCTGCTCTGCTTAGGTGTGATGGCTTTAGTCTTAGCTATCAGAAAAGCGCTTCATGTACTCACACACAGTATATATTTTCCTTTCAGATCTATTGTATATATGTTATTACTATAGCTGAACATAGATCGCTTCCAGACATAAGATCTTAATTAGCCGTGAATCTGAATAGCTATCGCTCGGGCTCTAAGCCCATATTCACGTATTCAGTTACGACCATTATGAAACGTAAGCCAAATGACGTTTGCATCTTTTTGAATGTGGCCTTTAAAATATGTTTTCTCTTCCTTTTTTCTGATCTTTTTTGTTTTTGTTTTCTTTTTAATCTTAGCCTTAAACGAATTCTTCGCTTGGCGAAATTCTGTTGAATTTTTGTTTTCTTTAATGCTGATTATGCATAGTGGAACGACCGAGCGAATGTTCCAAGAAATTAACAACAGCCGCAACCTTTGCGTTGAGGGAGTGTTGAACGTTGAACGTTGAACGTTGAATGTTGAATGTTGAATGTTGAGTTCCGCGAGATCGGCCAGACAGCAGAGACACTAATAACAGACATCCAGTGGGAATTAAGTGCATGCGCACAATCCGCAGACAAACTTTGTGGCAGCAGCTCCATAGAGCCTGCCCCACATGACTGCCCCATTGAGCGGCTCGAGGATCGCTTAACAGAGTAAAAGAGTAAACAGCTTAAGAACTAACCAGCCGACTGTTTATAATCTCATCCGATCAGGACATCAATTTTTATTTTCAAATGAGCTGCTGCTGCTTCGTCGTGCTGCAAGATAACTTAAAGCCTTATGCCCTAAAATGTGTTGCCAACTAAATATTTAGAGTTCACATATATAAATAGAATTTTTTAATATTTTTTTTGTCTATGTAAAATGCTGCAAACTAGAGCAAATAGCTTTTAGTCCGCTAAATATATAAAGTTAGCTTTTTAATTGCAAGTTTTTATTTATAATATGATCATATGGAAATAGGAATTAGTCTTATATATAATAGTCTTATAGAGCTTAGAATTGTTGTACGCTATCCATCAGGTTCAGGCTCGAAAGCTATTTGGATTTTTATTATAATTAATATTATATATTATTATTAATATTTTTCGATTTTATATAGAAGTAGTTTTGACTCCAAGTTAGGATCTACATAGTTTACCTTCTTTTAGCTATTTTTGCGTTCAGCTACTGTAAGGAGTTGAAGTTCTACTTTGAGAACCATTCAGCTTGGAGCCTCCTAGAAGAGCTCTGTGACTCAACAGTTGAGAGCTTTATTATTCCCTGAGTGGCTAACAATACTGACAATAAAATCAGAAAATTTGCCATAGAAGTTCCTGACACTGATTTATGTGAGCATTCTTCAGGCTTCTAAAGGAGAAAGGAGCTGAGATATCGGAAGTAGGAGCTAAAGTTGTCCGCTCATTGGCAATGCGAGGCGACACCTGACCAAATGCAACACAAATTGGCCTTTCCACTGAGGCTTTCAGATTTTCACATTTTCACATTTTCGGCGCACTCTTGCCGCCACTTGCAGCTGCACCATGGCCACGCCCACATTGTTATTCAAATGCTCTGCCATTAATACTTCACTGGCAATCTAAGAGCTGTAGTCGATGCCACTGTGTGGCTGCCACATGTCATCTGTGCGTGTGTGTTGGGTGCCTGTGGCTGCAGCTCGAGCTACAGCTTGTCGCTTTTCATTTGATTTCCAGCAGCCATTCATATGTAAATGTTCTGCAAGCGACTTCTGCACACAGCCACGCACGACCCTTGGCCACGCCCACCTCCTGCACACTGAGCGCTGTCTGGCAGCCCGTGCACTTGGCTTCTTTTCTTGGGAATTTAATATTCCAAAATGAAATTTCAAGTGTTTTGAATTTATTCACAAGCTTCCAGCGATTGTGTGCCTGTGTCTTTTACTGTTATTTTACTAATATTTCTATTATTTTTTTTTCTCTATTTTTGTTTGCTTTAATTTCTGGTCAAAGAAGCCAAACATAGTCCGCAAACAGTTGGCCACAAACTTTGTCCACGCTTCGTAACGCCCCTTTTAGTGGCTGGTAACTGCCCCTTGGTACCGGCTCGGATTCAGTCATAGTTCCGGCTCCCAGCAGCCGTTGCTGTGCATTAACGGAACAATGTAACAATAAACTCCACACACACACACACGCACACACATCACAGCCTATCTCTAGGAAACTCTGATTGTATCGTGCGAGAGAAATGATTATAGTTCTCAATGAGGGGTCGAGGGACGAAACAGAAATCAAAATCAAAATCATTTGTACGACTACCCGATAACATTCGTGTATAGTATATAGAAAGAGAGAGGCACGCAGAAGAGCTCTCCACTGAGACCCAGCAACAACAACGACAACGAACAAAAGTGACACTAGGCAACATCAATAATAGCAACTACGAACAACAACCCTCGGAAAAAAAGGTATTGAATTTCAGTGCATGTCTTTTCTATCCCTCACATTTTATATGTATTTGTATGCACGCTCACATGTGGGAAAAGCGAGTATATTGGTTTCGTGCCCGCTGTGCCTCGCTCGTTTCCTACCTCTGGCCTAGAACAGAGTCTGATGTGGCTTGCCTTTTAGTATATATCATGTATATCTGCTCTACAGGTGCTTGGGCTTATCTGACAAACCTGTTCAGCTGTTGTTGTTGAGCTCTGAATGAGTATTATTCAGTCAGTTACGCCCGTTCGTTGCTTCGTTTTTGTTGAGGCATTTAATGAATTTATCAGCTGTGGCCATCGCCTGGCTCGTTTCTGAGGTTTCGTTCTCAATTTTTTAGTTTTTTTTTTTCTGTGTCTTGGTTCCATTTTGAACTTGAGATATTTTCGTAGAACTCTCTGTGCAGCACATTTTGGGTCATTGTGAATTCAAATTCTTGTATAACCATTTTCCTAGTGTTCTGCTCTGATGTTCTTCTTTATTACCATTTAATGTGCCACATTCGCTCCAATGTTAATGGATTTGTCTGCGCTCGAGCAGGGCTTAAGATGCGCCCTCAATCATGTCTCCAGACGGTCGTCAATGTTTCGGTATAGTTTTCTCAAATCTTTCAATCTGATGGCTTCAATTGTGAATGCCTTAAATAGCGCGCATTTCAATACAAATTTCAATACAAATAAATTCCATAAGCAAGCTACAAGAACAGACTCAGCGCGGCTTGGCTCAGCTCGGCTCGGCTCAGCTCGGCTCGGCGTGCTGTCGGCTTTGCACTAAGTTGCCAAATGTGTGTTTCATTCCACTTTGTTGCAAACCTTTTGCATTAAAGCACTGTTCCATTTCCACAGCTCCACCTTTTTCTTTCTCAGCGCGGCTTTTCTCATTTTCATCATTTTTCTACTCATTCCATTTCAATTTTTAACTTTTTCCGATTCGTTCCTACTTTTTTTTAGACCAACAGCCTGACCCTGAGACTTTTGCATATTTCCTATGTCCCATTTGCAGCTTTTGGCTGTTAGACATTTTCATTATATTTTAATTTTTTCTTTTTCTTCTTGCTCACCTTTTTTGATTCCTTTTGAAATTGTCCTTGATCACTTCTCTTTTTCTCTGCTCATTGCTCACTTGAAATTTATATGAAGTTGAACCAGATCAGTTCACATTTTGTCACGCAAGTCTTAAATTATATGGCAATACTGTTTCAATTCCATTTTGTTTCTCCGACAAATGGTGTTCCACTTAAGTCTTCTCACTATTCCACTTCCTTTTTGCTAAGCTTAGTTGAAATATGACTTCAGACCAACCGAAAAACTGATCTACAATACTTTCCCTTTCCGTTTCCCACATACATCTACTACTATAACTGTGAATAATTTTCCCGCGTGTTTCTTTCCATTGTTCGAACCAAACTTAACTAGGCAGTAGTTATAAAATACTTGAACTCTTATTCATTTTCTTTTGACTCTACGATAAACTGTGCAAAGACTGTTTCATTCCATCGTTCCATTCGAAATTCCGCCTGCCACGTTCATTTCATGTTCAACTTCAGCACTTTAAATTCAACTCTGCTTTAATATTCACCC